CCCCAAAACCCCAAAACCCCAAAACCCCTCAATCACGCCACAAAACAGAAATTACAAAAATTTAAATTCTTAATCTGACATATTAGAGCGTCTTTTTGCAATATTCTCTAAGATTTCTTTTGGTTTACCTTCTTCCTCGACTTTGCCATCTTTCATCACCAAGATCTTATCGGAGTCTGCGATGGTGGCCATTCTATGAGCAATGGTAAGCACGGTGCAGTCTTTGAATTTCTCACGGATTGTCTGCTGGATCATTGAATCTGTTTCAATATCTACATTAGCAGTGGCCTCATCTAAGATTAAAATCTTGTTGTTTCTTAGAATAGCACGAGCCAAGCAGATGAGCTGTTTCTGCCCTACAGAGAATACAATGTTGTTGTCTGCTATCTGAGTGCCTAGTTTATGGTCAAGAGTTTGAATATAACCCGCAAGTTGTACTTCAGTGAGAGCTTGCCATATTTCATCATCTGAGTAAGCTTTAAAAGGATCCAAATTATCTCTAATGCTGGATGCCATCAAAAATGGAGTCTGAGGAATGAAAGAGATGTTCAAGCGGAGACAATGTAAGCCTAAGTCTTTGATATTGTCACCTGAAATGATAATCGATGAATCTGGCTCGATTTCAATAAGTCTGAAAATTGCCTGGATTATCGAAGATTTTCCAGCTCCTGTACGTCCGATAATTCCAACTTTTTCTCCGGCTGAAATCTTTGTATGAAGACCTTTGAGAACAGGCTCAAGTCCTTCTCTATATCTCATGACTACATTATCAAAATAAATATCTGGAGTCTCTGGCCAGTGCTCTGGGTCTGTTTCTTTAACTAGTTCGTCCTCTGTCTCCATTTCAGCGTATTCAACGACTCTTTGGGATTTCGTCATATGATTTTCCAATTCTCCAGTCATTCTGATAAGATACGCAAGAATTGTTCCAAAATCCATTGACAGTTGGAAGGAAAGCGATGCCAATACCACACTCAAGAAGCTTGTATGATTACTCAGAACAACAAGAGATAGTCCATTTATAAGAATCAAGAAGACACTGATCAAGTCTAGCCTTGCTTGACTCCATCTTACCACTCCTTGGTAAGTGAAAAGAACATTAGCATTGATGTCTACGTCTTTCATAAATAGTTTTGAGAAGTACTCCTCTTTACCATAAGCTCTGATCGAGGTCATACCATCTAGAACAGATCCAAACTTGGTATTAATTGGAGCTTTAGTGATAGAGTCGTATCTCTTTCAATCATTCTGTGGTAAAATTACTAATTTCCTGATCCATAATGCCAAAAATAAAACTAATAGGGCTGGGACAAGGATAAAAGGTACTGCCACACACATAAGGATGACAATAGAGATCGCCCTGAACATATTGTTTAAAACAAAGTTGGCAATCAATGGCATTACATTATCAAAAACACCAATATCCTGGGCAGTCCTGGTTAATATTCTTCCAATTGGAGTTGTGTCAAAGAATTTAATGGGAGCTCTGAAGACTTTATAAATCATTAAAGAATGTAAATTCTTTGATGTCAATAAAGCTGAGAAGCATATAATTAGAGCCCTCAAAATGACAGCTGTGAAATATAACATAATTGTGAGATAGAACAAATGGAAATAGTAAGCCTTCTGTTGCTCATCTAAATCTTTCCTTGTCCAAAGACCAACAACGTATCCAACACAAAGGAAAAGGAAGGCCCCACAAATAGTAAATACAAGAGTAGAGATGAGGCCAATTACACCTGTTCCGTACTTATAGAAGTTCCACCAATCTCTCAGAGTCAGAACTCCTTTGTCCACCTTCTCAGTCATTATCAATTCTTTTGTATCTTTAATGTCTTCTTGTTGTTCAGATTTAAGATTCGCCATACTATTTGATAAATTATCTTCTTTTGTTTCTATTCTTAGGGATTCTTGAGAAACTTCAGATTGATAGTGAGGTTCTTCCTCCTCATCAAAGATAATTTCATCCTCTCCCTTTTCTTCTTTTTTGGGTTGATAAGCCTTGAGCATTTCATCAAAGTCCATTCCTTGCTCTTTCAACTGGTTGTAGTTCCCTTCTAACTTGATTGTGTTTTCGTCAATAACTAAGATCTTTTCAACATCTGCTAAAAATTGGATCAGGTGCGTTACCAAGACGACTCATTTATCTTTGAGATGCTCTGAAATGCATTTATTTGAACAGCTTTGAAGCCACTTCAGGATCAACTGCACTAAGGGGGTCATCAAGAAGATAGATGTCTGCTTGTGAGTATATGGCTCTTGCTAGACTGATCCTTGCTTTTTGACCACCGCTCACATTAATACCTCTTTCGCCGATAATAGTATCTGCTCCATTACTCATCTGTTCAAGATCAGTATCAAGTCAACAAACTTTGATGGTGTTATCGAACAGTTCTTGGTTAAACTCAGATCCTAAGATGATGTTTTCTGTCACAGTTCCAGATACAATAAATGGCTCTTGCTCAACATAAGCTTTTGTTCCATTCGTCCTGACGATCCCAGATAGAACCTCCAGCTCATGCATCATTGCAGATAGCATCGTAGATTTCCCTCATCCTACAGCTCCTACAATAGCAATAAGTTGTCCTTGTTCAGCTGTCAAGTTAATATTCTTTAAATTAACATCCTTAGAGTCTTGCTCAACTTCATTCCTTCCTGTGGTATCTTTTATCTTGAAACCCCATGAAAGAGAGGCATTCTCGATACTAATCCTAACTGAGGAAGGAAGAGTTTCATCATCTTTACTTCCTTCCGAATTATACTCCTGCATTCCAATGACCTCTCCAGTCCTTCCTAAGATTGCAATCAAACTTGCCATTGCATTGAAGGCTGTGAAGAGGAAATAGATGGAGTATTGTGACATATAGCTGAGGATTGAGATAGTTGATAAAGATCTTGAATAATCAAACTCCCTATTCATCCCCCAATGGTATCCAAATATTGCAATAGCTATCAAAAACCCACCGTTAATGAAAATTCCAAGTCCAAAAGAGAAGATTAGATGGCTGAATCCGACGTATTTGAGTTGCTTGTCTCTATAATTCTTAATAAGTTCTTGGAATGGATTTTCCCAACCATAAGTTTTGATGGTTCTAATCCCATTAACTCCGTCAGAGATAACATCAACTCTTTTATCAGAGAATTTTCCTTCCTTCAATTTCCATCCGAGTGTAATTTTTGATAAAATAATTTGAGAAACAATTAATAAGACGAAAACAACGAACCCAATAGCAGCAGCTTCTTCAAAATTGATTGCGATGAGTGCAAACGCTACCAATGTAGAGATTGGAGCTATTATTATATAGGGTGCCATTTGTATTCCAAACTCTATAGTCTGGAGCTCACTAGATACTATGGTAATCATCTTCCCCGTTGATGAAACAGCCTTAGATTTTTGAGACAATTTTAGTGCTTTCTTATACATTACTCATGAAATAGCTTTCCTCAAGTTAATTCCAAGATAATTTGAAGAGAAGAAATAATTAACTCTAAGCACTTGGGTTGTATAGAATAAGATTGCGAAGCTAATAGCATATAGATAACCTTGGTAATTCTCTCCGTCTTCTTGAAGCCACCTTACAAAGAATGAGGAATACCAGAAGTTAAACACTGCTATTAGTTCTGTTAGGACGCCCCAGAACACTACTTTCATAATATTGAACTTGAATGTTTTAAGTATTATCCACAGCATGCTTTTCTTATAATCAAAATTAGCATACTTTCTTTCATACTCAGACATGATCCTCTCCATTCTTGCTGTTGTTGGCCCAGAATTGTCATTTTCTGGCATTTTAGGGCATTGAGAAGCATCCTGAAGGAACTTATATTTGTTCACATACTTTATAAAGGGGATGGCCCAAGACATCCACATCTTAGACCACCAATGACTTGAATTATAATCATCCTCGAAAGATTCCCACTTTTTTTGTTGATTTTCTTCCATTCTCCGTCTTTTTAGTAAAATTAATTAAATAAAATTAAAATGGTTAAGTCTTAAATCTCCAAAATCAACCAGATTCAATTTTATCCAATACTTGGGGTTTTGGGGTTTTGGGGTTTTGGGGTTTTGGGG